GCGTGCTATTGCCTTATAGTCGTTTTGGACAACTTTAGTGCTAACCTTGCTACATATTTATTTATCTATGGTGCTAACACCGCAATTGAATGGAACAGCGTACGGTATCTATATGCAGTGTCGCCTCTAGTACGTAGTACATAATAGCTCAATGAGAAAATACGAGTTTTAACGTAGACAGAGAAACCAATAGACTAATGATTAGCGTGCCCTCGAGTGAGAAAGGACGATAACGTAGTTTTAGGTTATACAATAACCTTTATGACCTTTAAACTTATTTAGATAAAAATTTTAATTGTTATAAGAACTGAACTGAACAAGATTCACCAATCTTAAGCTCACAAAACACTTTTTTCTCACTTAAACCAACTTGTAAACTCCTTAGATCGCTACGAACTGTCAAAGTTGTTTAGAAAAGTGTAGTTTGCTAAACAAAAATACCGACACGGAGAAAGGGACAAACAATCACACCGCTCTGTCTCATTTCTATGCAAGACGTATGCATAAATCTATCTTTTTCGTGTGCGAATGCGAATGAAGGCGTCAATTTGTCTATAGGTTTCTCTGTCTACGAGTTTTAAGGATAATATTATGTTTAAAATATTGACAGATGAAAAGTCACGTTGTCCTTTTGTAGATTTGACGTTTTTGAGTGTTTTTTTTGCGTGAAAATACACTGCAATTGACGGCAGTGGCACGATTACTTGCTGAATGGCGCACGACGCGGAGCAACTAGTTTTATATGTATAACGGGTATTAGTCGGACTGTCGTACCCATAGATTACTGTGTATATACTAGAGTCGTACCTTTGACAAAGGGGTATGCTACCTTCAAAACTACTCCTAAACTGACTCTACTAACAAATGATAATTGTAAATGTTTTGATTAAAACTACTTTTACGGATTTTATCGCGTTTATTTTACTTTCAATTACTTTTATTTTTAATTCCCGACGATTCGGGCGCTTTCCAGCACCCATGGTCAAAGGGGGACTGAGATGACTGACGTCCCGATGTCATTGTTAAACCTGGAGTACCTTCAGCTTTTTTAATTATTGTTTATGGTTCGATCTATGCAAAATGAACTGACTATGTCCTGAGGTCTTGCAGTGGTATGCCTGGGTTTAGTTTTAATTTTATTGATTATAGGATCCCAAGCAGGTGGTATTACCCAGCTTCCTTCTCTATTGAAATTAGGATGTTTTTTAATTTCAATAGCCTCACGTATCATCCTTGGTAGGAATCGGTGTTCTTTCGCGAGGATTTGTGGTCTATCAAATCTGATGTAATGGTTGGGGCCGCCTAGGATATGCTCACAAACTGCAGACTTCCCGGAACGTTGGTGCTTCACATCAGCTATATGTTCTTTTACGCGGGTTCTAATTGATCTTTTTGTTTGCCCTATATAAGAGAGACCACATTCACAATCAAGCTTGTACACTCCTGCATCTTGTAGAGGAAAATGACACTTGACGGATGGTAGGAACTGACTAATCTTCTTCGGCGGTTTGTAGAATGTTCTAATAGAAGCTCGCTTCAAGATGTAGCCAATCTTGTCTGTGACACTCTTTGACATATGGTAGTACAGCAGGCACACGCTCGACTGTGGCCGGCTTCACTCGGTCACTGTGACGTAGGCGCGGGACCCGAAGCTTGTTGTCATGTAGAACTTGCTTAACGTGCTGAAGCTCGGCGGCCAGGTGTTTGCTGTCACAGATCCCTCGTGCTCTCTGTAACAAAGATTTGCCCACGGTAGCTAACTGTGAAGGATGGTGGTGAGATTCACCGTTTAAATATCGGTTTGTATGGGTCTTTTTCCTATACTATCCAGGATGGTTGGCGGTATAATGCCCCCATCGCGTCGTCGAGAGTCAAGCAGGACGCAAAAAGAGATTGGCTTTCTCATTTGCGACATGGCCAAGTGAGTCATCTTCCTTGCGCAAAGATGGTAATGATGATTTACAGAAATTCCCTTGGCGAGGGATAAGGACGCACGAGGTCTCGAAGGAAGTTTAATTAGTTTCTCGCCAATTCTCCCAATGTGCTCCGACTTTGCTCCAGCGCTCTTTTGAAGGACCTGGAGGCTGTATTTCTTTTTATCTGAGCTAGTAGTGGACGGACGGAGCGAGACGCCAATGCGTCAGTCAAGGCCTTGTAAGACTCCTTCTTTTGCCGCGACGCAAATTTGCAGAAGCGTCCAAACGAATACTGGGATCTGCCGCCGGTAGGCACTACGGATGACGGGATCAAAAGTTTCATTACATCGGCGCCAGACGCAGTAACGAGTTTATTGTGATTATCTAGCGAGAAAATAATCCGCAACCCATGGGTAGGATGCAAAAAAATCCCAATCCGCTGACCTATAAGTGACACAGATGACGGTAGCCTACAGACCTTGCCTGTAATGAGCAAGTGACACTGTACTGCGGTTCAGTAAATGATCCGAAGAGCCGAGAGAGACATCGACGGAGACCTGATAGCCATCCGGATGAGGAGTCAGCAGAAGGGCCAACGGGGAAGGTGTATGATCCTCCACATCTGAAATTTGCTCGGGAAAAGTGACCGGTTGTACTAGACCTTATGCAAAGCAATGCCGTAAACAGATCTTTGATTAGTGGTATGAGAACCGAGCCATTCGGCGTGTTTGACGTTGAAACTTGTGCGTTTACTGTATGAAATTCTGTGTTTCATTTTCGCCAACGAAATAATCGGTTACCGATTGTCATTTGCAACGTTTCACGTTTACTTGATGTCACATCAAGTGAATTGATATACCGTCTTAATAGGTTTTAATTTAAAAAAAACGCGCTTAGGCAATGATGGGATGCTTGGATACGCGGGGCCCGTAGCAATTGCTACTCTTGCTACGTGATTAATCCGGCACTAATGGGTTTAAATCACGGTTGATGTAGACCCATGTACGTGAAAACGATTTTTCCTCTGATACAATCCGACACTTTTTCGTTGCCGCAATGTTCGGTGTATAGTTTAATAATTTTAAGTTAATTATTTTGGTGAAAGTAAGTACTTATTTAACTGTTAAAACTGGTATACGTATATATTGTTTATTAATAAACATTACCTTTGTTAATTTACGGCATTCGTGTATCGGTGTCGAAACCAAACAATCGTCGATACTCGATTCCCAGGATGGATGAACTATCTACATACATATTCAAGTTTATTCAGAACCCTCATCGCGCGAGTACTAATCATTCTTGTTCGGGTTTTTGACACATTGTAACTTCCCACAGAGTGAAGTCCTGCGTTCACTCGTCATTCTATATCCTTGTCATGCCTACCAATCTTGCTATGCACATACCCTAAATAAACAAACTCATTCACTTGCTTAACAACTCCCCTTCTATTCCTATTTCACATATAGTTATAATTTCTCGTGTTCACTTTCAGACGTAACGTTAATTATATGTAACTCGTTCTACAACGTACTTCTCTTAATTATTTACTTATCCAAAATTGAAAATCCTTCTATCACACACGCACACGCACACGCACACACACACACACACACACACACACACACACACACACACACACACACACACACACGCACGCACGCATGCACTCACTTCTTACGCACTGATGCATGCACGCACTCACGTACGCACGCTCGTGATCCTTTTCTTGCTTGTTAATGTCAACTGGTTCTCAGGGTGGAAGTCGCACGCAGCTGTGACATTTTTTTCTTTCTGGTCTCGCACAAAATTAGGTAACTCTCGGCTGTTCTGAATAATTATTACTTGGCAGTTGAGTTTCCAGAACATTTTGATATTTGCCAGAAAATCATCAGATAGTCTTTTATCATTATTTTCCCTTCTTTATTGCTTTTTCGTTTTTACTATGTATGAGTTATCAGCTGAGCGTTTGGACCAGTCGGGATTATATCCAGTCCGAGAGAGTAGCTGTGTATAACTAAAATGATGAAACGATATTATATAAGTACGGAATTAAAATAAGGAATACCATTCATTCTAAAGGATTGTGATATTTGTCAGGGCAATTAAAAGTACTTTTAATCCCGATTGTAAATGGTTCTACAATGAAAAACATGTCCAGCTATAAATAATCTTTTCTACTATTGTACAGAGAAAATACTACTTAGTGTAATCATAACACGAAGAATGTAAAGAGAATAAAACGCTGTATTAACGGCAAACAGACAAAAATATAATAGAATGGACACGGTGTGATTTGCAAAATTAAAAAAATGCTTCGTTTTGTTGAAATTTAACACAAAATATTAAAACGTCATAAGCATAGTATGTGCTGGCTTATTACGTGTCAGCTTGTATTATTTAGAAATTTCATGGCAAGTACATTTATGTAAATTCTCTGGGTAAACGCGTTTTAAGAACATATGCCGAAACTTTGCAAAATATCTTTTAAAATCTTAATTAGATATCTAAAAACTATCTTATTTCTGTCAATTGCATCGTAAATACAAACAGTACATCTCGGCATAGTCTCGTTTTTTGCATGAATTTAATAAAAGCCATTTAGTACTTTAATAAAATATATTTTGTAAACAAAAACATACAGTGTTCACTTATTTTAGTCTTAAATAGAATAATATAATCTGTAACAATTCCTAACATAAATTTGGTAATTTAAATGATAAGATTTATATTCCCTTAAACATCAATATACCTTAACAAATCCTTACTGCATATTATCACATAAGATATGTTATTCACAGTTGACATATTTAAAACATTGCTTTATCTAAATATGTTGGGCCAAACACCAGTCTTCAAAAGAAAAATTAATTCAGACAATACTAATAGCCAATGGCAAGCAACTATAAGGTTAAGGGTTGGTATACAACCCTTAACGTAATATTCAAGTATATAGATAACAAAAATAAATGCATATAGAAATAATTAATTTTTTTTAAAGTAAATAAGTTCTTATTTGTATGAAATGTAGAAAAAATACAAAATTAAATTCAGTTAATCATAATTCCTTACACCAGTAGCTTCTTAAAGATCTTCTGTAGCAATCTGCAACAAAAATATTGAAGTTTCATAAAAAAAAACCACCTTAAGTCATAAATATGCCATTATAATATAACCAGCTGGCTGGGCAGGTGTTGTTCTCCCCTTTCTTAGAACATAAATCCACTCATAGGGTCAAGATTTTGTGATTCTCTTTTTATACCTACACATGTGTTGATACGAGTAATTTTGGTCTATAACTATATAGAATTTGTTAATAACTTGTCTACAGCCAACTATCAGATATTAGCATTGCTATCGACCTTCGTCATGTCTTTAATCTCGACGAATCAAGTCGTTGATAAGTACACGACCATTAACAGCCGCGTTACCAGCGTTTATAAATACAAAGGTAAAATTGTTAGCGCAGAAGCTAGACGTAAGTCCGGGTTTGCTTCCTTCACACACACGCAACAAATATTTGTATATCTTACAAACTATTACTCCAATGTGAATTCGTACATTGTAACTAAATAATTTATGTGAAGCTCCTTCATGTTACAAAAGCAATTTTTTCAGTACAGTAGTTTCTTAAAGCATTCGAGTAGGCAGAATATTAAAAAAATGCCTAAGCATTTATAATGCATAGCATAATGCACTGTGCTAAGGAGGGAACTTGTTCGTTCTACTCCGAGAACATTGAGTAAAAACCGTATGGTTGTCGTATTAAAACGACGTTGCATCAATCGTTTGGGGCTTCGTGGTATCAGTTTTGGATACCATATGCATCAGTGACGGACAGTCAAGGCCTATGCAGTCAGTTAAATTTCTTCCGAGTTTTAAGTATTTTACTTGATCGATTATACGATGCCCTTCTTTAAGTCTCCTTAAGACCTAATTTCATTCACGGCAACCTGCCTGCCTGCCGCAGTACAGGATTATAGTGCCAAAGTGTATGCGTAAGCACAGGTGCACTCTCTATTCCCTCACTCTCATAATCCAATGGGACGGCTTTACATGCTTTCCGAGGTACTGGGATGATACACTGCCATCTTTCTGACTCCGGTCAACTACTGAGAATTTCTTGTCGGAAAGACTCAATAATTGATTTTTTTGGCCCGACTCAGGATTCAAACCCAGGACATCATGATCAACAGTCGCATTACTACAACCATTAGATCAACAAGGCAGTCAAAATAAATATATAAGACTGCACTATATGGAGAGTTGAAGCTGTAAATTTGAATCTATTGAATGAAATGAAAAAAATTATTATGTATTTAGGTAATACTATAAGTTATTATATAATAAAATAAATATTATTGATTTCGGCTTTGCAGTTTTTACGTGATACGACAGACATATATATGTTAATGATGATGTTTATTTATAATACAGGCTATTTCCATGCAATCAAATTAATAAAAGTGAATTTAGCTGTAACCCTGACATTATTTTGGATATATTTGAAATAGTTCGAACACTGTTACGTGTTTTGAAATACTATTATTAAAATAAAAGTAAAAAGTCATGGCTAGCAATAAGGCCTAAATGAGTTTGACTATAATTTTTTGATATTTTTCTCAGTGCTGCTTGTTCTATTCTGCGGTGCTACGTCAAGAAGATTCCCAAACGTATAGTTAATTTCTGTGTGGAAGCAGAGATTACATTGCGTTCATTGATTAAAAAAATAAATAAGATCGTCCGAACGTTTACCTGACACGTTTTCCATATTAGAAAAACTAGCGCCATCTATTAGAACTACTTTTAACTACAATGTGATCGGCGTAATCGGTGTGGGGTGTTTAAAAACGTATTTTTGTACGAGCGTAAAGTCCGGACTCTACCAAAGCGGAGATGTGAGATGTCCGAAGCGGAAACTCTCAGTCAGAAAGAGCAGAGCCAACCTCGCCGTCTCGAGATGGTCTCGAGATCTTGTTGCTCCGAGCAGTTGTAGCCTTGAGCGGAATTTTGCCCCCCCCCCCAGAATAAGCGGGGCAGCCTGAGCACCCACGCTCAGAAGTGGAGAAACACATGGTCGTGGATGCTCAGCGAGGGATTCTCCAGGGGTGCTGGTACCCTCCTGGGGTTATCATTATTTAATTCCGCTACCATGTTGACGGGGGGGGGGGGGATTTGGGCCTCCGTCTCTCTCACATCTCTCCTCTCGCCTCGTCTTGTCTCCGCTTTGGTGGAGTCCGGGCCACCGGGTTTTCAAAGAAAACAATACTTTAATTTTCCAGAAGTACTTTGTTGCAGTATCGTAGAAGATTTCCGGTACGTACCTAATGACTAGTACCTGGATAAGCGAGCTTCGCTCGGTTTTATTTTGAAATTACATTTAGATACAAATTACGTACTGATGAATTATGTATAATATTTTTTGATCTTATTGACATAATAGAAAAAACTAAACTGGTTATTTGAATAAAAAAAATCATGAGTGCAATTTTAGTTTAGTTAAAATTTTCGTATTTTTTAAAATACTAAAAAAAGGGCTCGAAATAATAGATTTTCTCACAAAAGAAGGGCACTTAAAAAAAGGAAAAAAAGTTGGACCGAAGACAGTACGCGAACCAAGGCGTTAAGATTTCGCGACCGCTCGATATCCACTTGAGCTATTACGATCATTAACACAGTGTCAAAATTTACCTTCTTATATTGTAGCAGTTTTTCATTGCCTGAAAACACTGACAAAAAGACATTTTCTAAAAATAAATCCTAGCTAGATCGATTTATTGCCCCCGAAACTCCCTGGACACTAAATTTTATGAAAATCGTTGCAGCCGTTTCCGAGATTCCGATAAAAAAATATATATATATATATATATATATATATATATATATATATATATATATATATATACAAGAATTGCTCGTTTAAAAGTATAGGATATGCAACATTAATTAAAAAATTTTTTTTGTGTACATACATGAATCAAATGCAATAAATTTGCCTGAAAAAAGTATATATAATTTACATGTTAATGTTAATTAGATTTAAGAGTTCAAGTCTAAATTGTTACTGAATTTTGATGTTATTAATTTACAAATAGTAGTACTACCACATTCTCACAGTCCTTAGAAAATGTGTTAATTTTTTTATAGGACAGAGGGCAAACAAGCATACGGCTCACATAATGTTATGCGCCGCCCGCCGCCCATCAACAACTCCAATATCAGTTAAATGAGTTACATGCTCATATGAAGAATGAGTTTCGCCTGTAATTTGATCTACATAAAGATGTACATGTAAGGGATTGTAATAACGCAGTGAACGCGAGGTGAGATATGTAATCTTTTTAATAAGTCTGAGCAGTCTAAACGATCTAGAGCACTTTAACTTAGTAAGACCAAATCAGCTGTATAGCGCCTAGTTTGCAGCGGGAGGAGATGAAGATGAGAACACTGCAATTCATAGCGCTCTTTGGGTACTTATATGAAATTTAGTACCTACATATCGAATGATTTTTTTAATCGCTTCGATTTTGTTAATATATATTTTATATTGAGAATTCCATACTTGACACGATAACAAAACAATATTTTCATTGATTTCAACTGACGGAATTTGCAACAAGACCTTATAATAAAACCCAGAGCTTACTAGGCTGCACTAAAAGTATCGGGAATGGAATATTTCCACTGTTCCTATCATATTAAAATCTTTTTAATTGAAAACTCGAATACCATTTTTTAAAAATCGAATACCATTTATTTATTTAAAAAAAGATTCTCGGTCTTGTCACAAGGTTCTGTCAAACTTGTTTAGTCGTTGAGAAAATGAAATTGACTCGAGAAAATTCAAGAGCGATGATTTATTATGACTTTCGAAGTGGTTTAACACAAAAACAGTGTGTTGACCGGATGATTTCTGCATTTGGTGATGAAGCACCATCCGTTTGGGTTTGTTTGTTCACACAGTTTGGTTGTTCGAAAATGAGTTAAAGGCAACAACAATTGTTCGTTCACGGAGTGTTGCAAAAAAAATGGTGGCCACGTTTGTCTCCAAAACCGGCCATGTTACGACTATTCCTCTTGAGGGACAAAGAACGGTTAATGCAGAATGGTATGCTAGCATTTGTTTGCCACAGGTCGTTTCTGAACTCCGTAAAGAGAACTGCAACCGCCGCATCATCCTCCATCACGATAATGCGAGTTCTCACACCGCACACGGAACAAAAGAGTTTTTAGAGCAAAACTGAATTATTAGACCATCCGCCGTACAGCTCCAACCTAAGCCCTAATGATTTCTATACTTTCTCTAAAATAAAGAATAAATTGCGTGGACAGAGATTTTCATCACCTGAAGAAGCTGTGGACGCTTACAAAACGGCCATTTTGGAGACCCCAACTTCCGAATGGAATGGTTGCTTCAATTATTGGTTCCATCGTATGGAAAAATGTGTCAAATTTCGCGGAGAATACTTCGAAAAGCAATAAATACATTTTTAAATAGTAATGTTGTGTCACTTCCTTGATTCCCGAAATTTTCAGTGCCGCCCTCGTATATTCTTTATTAACGATATCTTCCACATGCTGATCAAACAAAAGCTTAGTGTCAATAGTAACGCTGAGGTCCCTTATTTTATCACATCTAGTAACTGTTAAATCTTTAACTCTATAAGAAAAATTAAGGAGGTATATCACGCTTCCGCCCGAAAGGTATAATATTCCACTTCGAAACATTCAAGTCTAATTTGTTACGGATACAATAATTATCTAAGTTAATAAGATCGTTTTGTAGATGAGAATCATAAGAATTGTTGACTACTCTAAAATTATGCATCTACATTATCATTTTTCTTCATTATAAACATAAACATTTTGCTTTGAAGTGTGTGGAACTACGAGTATATACTATCACGTAGCTATCCATTTGTTTTAAAATATGGTTCACTAATTTCCTGCTTAATGACACAACATGCTTCATTTCGCACGGGATCAGTAGAAAATCTGCAAATAGATACGTATTTTTACAATTAGAGATTTTCTGAAACGTACGCAAACTACATTTTAATTTAATTTTATTAAATTATCAAAATAAATTTTGTGCATAAAAATGA